GGTTGAATCATCAGTTGTCTTGAAGCCTTAACTATTGAAGCTACCGATGACAAAGTAATAGTCATTGTGTTCTGCAAAAAAGTTGAAGCTAATAATGGATGTTCATATATTATATTTTATGCTGATGGCTTAACTGATTCATGTGCAGTTGATGTTAACCAAGTTGGAATAGAAATATGATATTTCTCTTGTTTAGTTAATTGGCTTCTATACATTCCATCTTGCATGCATCTAGAGAAAGAAAGTATTTTTTCGTATTTCCAGTTTATCAAGTTCAGAGTTCTAAATGGGGGAGAGAGAGAGAGGGAGAAGTTCACCGTGAAGCAATCAAAAACGGCAAGCATCCTTTACTGAAACAAATATAATTGTGCGGTTACATGTTTGAAATGCAAGTGTATGTGGGTGAGGGTGGAAGGAGGAATTGCGATTTGGATGCACCATTGATAAAGGTGATGAGCTTGGACTTGGGAAGTGGATTAGAGAAAGAATAAGAAAAAAAGAGTGGTTTAACGGTAATTTTTTGACAATACAACGTGATGTTCATATAAGGTTCATAAAGATCTATGTCACTGGTGTAATTATGACAAAATGAACTGAAAACTCAATGAGTTGTAGAAGGTCAGAAGAGATGCATACAAATAACTGTTCTTCTTTATATACAATAGATAATTGTCCGCTTATTGCAACTGGATATAAATATTTTAATATGATTTTGTAAATAAACATTTACCAAATTCTGCCCATGATATACCTATTTGAATATATTTTAGGATATTATTTTGCAATCACTTATTGACTTCCAAAGGAAAAAGATAAGTTTATTTGGTAAGTCAATTAAATGTGGGACAACTATGATGATTTTCATGGAATGATGCTCTGTCCAAGGATGGAAGTTTGGACGAACCACTCTGCCAGCTGGCAGGAAAAGGAACATTATTCTTTTTTAAGTATTATATATATAGATAATACAAAAGGTGCGTTTATATATGTTTTTATTTTTGCAGAGTACGAGAGAGATGAGATGGATTAGGTTGACGTTGAGGAAGAATCCACCGATGAGGGTCCCAAGGCGATGTCGTTGGCAGGTCAAAAAATTCACCGATTTTGTGCAACAATGTGGCTATATATACGATCAGAACAAAAATTAAAAGGCATGTAGCAACGCACGGGCATTCTACTAGTGTGACATTGGTTGTCACCCCTCCTGTCTAGGACCCGAGCCAGCCCTGTGTCATTGAAGTTTTTTTTATGTAGGGAAATAGCAAAAGTCCAAGTAACATGGTGCCGGTGGCAGCGGCGGCGGATGAATAAAGAGCTTTGTTGCTAGGGTTAGTTATCGAACGAATGGTATGCACTCTCAGTTTGGTCATTCTATGCATATAGACATTGTGCGGATATTTTTCTTTCCCTTAACATTTAATGCCATCTACAACGAATAAAATCATATATCTTTTTCTTTGCGAATGGTACATAACCGTCTCTATTTCTTAAAAAAATGTCCCTGCAAATCTAAAAAATGCAAAAAAAATCAGACTTCTTTATTTGTACAGTATGACTTGACCGTAAATACCACTAGAGTCATCCATACCGACAACTATAAGTGTGAGTCTTTCGGGTCCACTTCAAATAATCACGACCCACATGTACAAATATGATTCTTGGGGGTAATGTCTTGTTAAATCATACAGTATGATTTTCGCTGGATATGGACTCTCTAATGATGCTATATATGAGTATTATGCTAAGGTGGTACCATCGTCGAATTATGCAATTAACTAGTTCAAAATATTTTTAAAATAATTTGTGTACACATTTTTTGTTTGATTTTTTTGATTAAGTTTTAAGTGATTTGCTAGATAGAAGAAAAGTTCAATCTCTTAGAAAATATAAAGAAATGAGATAAGAGATGTTAGAGATGCCCTAACGAAATTGCTTGACAGACGATAGATTCCGCCCGATTTGTGAGCGATTGTTCCTTCCCGTCCAAAGCTCGTGCATGCACGCTCGGTATAGCACTGCCACGTAGGACCGTTTAGCAGTCGGGTGCGATTTTATCGTGTGCATAGCAATTTCTATATGCACACGCATGACAAACATGCCCTAGTACATGTTTGTGCACCTCCCGCCATCACCGCCGCCATACAGCAGGAGGCCATCAACGCCCGCGTCGCGGCGGCAACGAGGTAGGTGTTGATGTACCTAGGGTTAAACCCTGGGCAACACGGCCTCATCAACGCCGTTGTGGCCACGACCAACACCGGCTCATTTGTGTTTCCTCGGGGGGTGCTGCCCTACTCGCCCCGCGCGTCGGCGACACAGCCAATGCCTGGCTTCCATGTCTACCCGCTGGCCTCCAGATTCTTCGAGGAGTGCTCGCCCGAGGTGAGTGTGGTGGCGCCTTCCACGCCCGCGCCCATCGACCTCAACGCCACACCGTTGGCTGGTTGCTCGTCATCCGGAGGGGCGAAGAAACGCGCGCGGCACATTTCAGTCGACGTGTTGTCGGGCGCACGCAACCTGTTCGACGGAATGCCGGCCTCGGTGACGATGACTACATGCAAAACATCATCTTCGAGGGTGGTGCGGCGGCCGCTGGCGGTGCCGTCGGGGCCGGCTATGATCCCGAAGAGACACAAAGCCAGGACGGCCGAGGACCGTTCACACCATCCACCTTTGATCAAGATCAGATGGCCTTCATGCATGATCAGGTCGGCCTGGACCTGGACGGCTTCCCACTCGACCACGAGTTTCCGGAGGACTACGGGCAAGAGGAAGAGGACGAGTTGGACATCGAATGGGAGCCTTTGTTTGAGGACAAGCTCGCCAACCAAGCCACCAGGGTGAAGCCGAAG